CGCAGGGGCTGAGGGCAGCAGGCCTGGCCCGGGAAGGCCACACTGAAGTGCATTTACTTCGACACAGCCTTCTGAAAGTTCCATCTCAGAAAAGGTATTAAATGTTTCCGCACATCCACCAACACTGCCGGTTTGTTTCAGCCTCGCTGTGCAATCGGGGCCTCTGGCGCGAACCTGCAGGTTTAAAGTGCGTCCCGAGTGGCTCCCAGTCAGACCACGAGGCTTCCCTGACTCGGTGGGAAGCTGTCGGACACGGGTGTTCAGTCAAACCCCTCACCTCAGTCCGAGGAGCCGGCCGTGGCTCCGACGTCTCCGCAGTGCTGTCCGTCGGAGGGGAGGCAGGCGTCGGGGCCTCGGCCGCCTCACGGCCTGGAACAAGGGGCCAGGAGCTGTGCCAACGGCCCTCTTGAGGGCTGACCAGGGCAGGCGGGCTCTGGGTGCTCCGAGCGGGTGAGTCCGAGTCCCCACATCAGCTCTAAGCCGGTTGCTCCGCAGCCTCCCAGCAGTTACTTTGCTCAGTGGCTCCCATCTTATAGCCCCCCACCCCCCCTAACGCTGCATCTGGGTTTCACATTTAGAACGAGTGCTAACGAACAAATGCTGTATTGAGCCCAAATATCCCCACCTTAAAACCAGCCCTGCTCCGCCAGCAGCCCTCCCCACGCATCCCTGTAGTCTCCGACAGCTATGCTGGGGCCTGCGCTGGGGGTGGGGAGTAGGGGCGGTGGGGGAGGCTGTGGCAGAGAGAGAGGGGTGCCCATCTGGGGCCGGCTGCCCTGACGTGCTCATGGCGAGTGCTAAGGGGCTGTCTCCCATTTTAAATCTCAGGTCCCAACCGCACCGTTAAACCACCAGGTGGACCACGTCAGAGACCAGCTCCTCTCCCAGGTGAGTGGGAATGAGAAGCGGCTGCATCCAACCCTGCGCCTCCCAACAGCTGGGCCGCACCTGCCAGGAGGGGCTGGGGCCTGCCAGCAGGGAAAGGCCAGGCCTGGCTGGGGGACCCTGCTGCATCACTGTGTGGGCTGTATCCCCAGCAGCACGCTGCTCACCGTAGCCGTGGGTGGGGGTGCAGGACACACCCAGATGCTGGGCGGCGGGGACCAGGCAATGCTGTGCTCCGTGCGGTCAGCGGGCCTGACCACAGCATCAGCACCCTCTGGGCATCTGTTAAGAAGGCACTTTCCTAGCCCCACCCCGTGGCCTGGGCGCAGGGAAGGTACTGCTGCTGGCTCCAGACCCACTGCACCAGCAGGAAGCAAATCCCTCCCGAAGCCACTGGGCCCTCCGTGGGATCCACTCCAGCAACAGAGAAACCTGCAGGCCGAGCGGGCGGCAGGCCCTGGGCAGCAGCTTCCCCAGCCCCCC